TGGCAGCAAGACCGGATCCGTAGCTGAAGAGACCAATTCGCTTGCCCTCAAGAGCCTTGTTGTCGACAACGCTGATCAAACTGGCAAGACCACCCCAGACACTGCCACAGTACATGTTACCGCAGTTGGTGGCGACCTGGATGGAGGGGTTGACACGCTCCTGGAAACGCTTCTTGGTGAGGGCCATGAAGGTCTTCTCAACAACCTTGTCGGTCAAGGACTTCTCGTAGTCCATGTCACGGAGCTCAGGAGCGACCTCGGCGAAAGCAGGAGAGTCGGCATTGGCGAGGTAGTCGTGGTAGAGGAGACGAGCGTAAGACTTCTGGACAAGCTTGCAAGTAGGGGAGTGGAAAGCAAGGTAGTCGAAGCGGTCGAGGCTAGTCTTGGTAGAGTCGTCACCGTTGGAAGCACCGTTGGTGCCGTTAGTGGCCTGCTTGGCCTCACGCTTGCAGTAAGCGCGGTAGGCGGCATCGAGGGCCTTGGTGTAGCAGTTGACGGAGTAGTGGCCATCAACATAGGGGTACTCGCTGGTAAGGTCGGGCTTGTAGAAATCGTAGGCGTGCTGCATGTAGGTACCACGCAGACCGGGCTCGGCGACAATAGGGGCGTTAGGGCCGATCAGGAGAGCGACGGCACCAGCACCACCAGTGGGGCGAGCGTTACCCTTGGCATAGAGAGCAATATCACCGGCAACAACGATAGCATCGCGACCGTCCCAAGCGGAAGACTCAACCCAGTTGATGGCGTTGAAAACAGCGTTGGTACCACCGTAGCAAGCGTTGATAGTGTCGACACCCTCGATGTTGGTGTTGTCGCCGAAAAGCTGCATAAGAACACTCTTGACGGACTTGGACTTGTCGAGAAGAGTCTCAGTACCGACCTCGAGGTAACCAATCGAGTTGGGGTCGATGTTGTAGTTCTTGAGGAGCTTGGAGGTAGCAGTAAGGGCGAAAGAGTAGATGTCTGTAGAAATCGCACGTTAGCGGTGATCCAATGGCATCATGAGATTTTGCCAGGACGCGGTGAGGACAGGCGCATTGCGCTAAGATCGTCTTTTCAGGGGACGGTGAAGAATTGGGGAAACTTACCCTCGCGGTCGTCGCAGAAGCTCATCTTGGTCTGGCCAAGACCAATGGTGTACTTTCCGGCGCTAACGCCATCGAACTTCTCGAGCTCAACCTGATCAACATACTAGAGAGCAAATAAAATTGTGGTTAGCTGGGGTCATCAAAGAGGCGCTCGTTCAAGCGTTGGGATAGAGGGGCACAATCTGAATGGAGGGGCACACGACCAGAACCCGAACACGAGAGTAATAACGCAGGGACCTTTTTTGTCCCATCCAAAAAGTTTGGTGAGGGGCAAGATTCAACGACAACAGTTCCCAGCAGAAACATGAGACCATGAGGGCATTGAAGATTGTGTGGCGATCGCGAACAATCGCAGAGGGAATGTCTCAGCTTACCTGGCTAGGGACATAAAGCTCAATGGCCTTGATGCCAATGTTCTGAGGACGAGACATGATGAATTATTTGGGGAGAGAAAGAGACGGTTGGTGGGGGAGAAGAAGCAGAAGAGGAAGGAAGACAAAGAGAAGAAGAGATGGAAGAGAAGTCGAGAGAGAAGAAGAGGATGTGGAGATATCTTATAATAAGACGACGACAAGGGAAAGGAAGGGAAGGGAAGGGAAGGGGGGGCCCGGAAGAAGAGCGCGAGATTGCGGGTTCAGGGTCAAGCAGTAGAGAGTGCGTCTCTGTAGGAGTGGTCTTGGTGCTTGTTAGGTTGAGATGGACTGAGATTGGATCTCCAAATCCAAGGTGAGGTGAGGTACTCTGTACTGTAGACGGACGGGGTGTGATTTCAGTGAGTAAGTGGCCGTGGCGGGGTGAAACGAGTGACCTTCACTTGTTGGGCGGGTTAGTTAGATTCAGAGGTATCAAGTTTTTCACCGCCCTTTGCCTTTTTCCACTGGATAGACGCTGCACTGTTGGCCTCTCGTGTAATTGGATTGGCTGCGTCTGGTTTCTGAGGCACTTGTAGGCTTGGAGTTAAGGTCATGGATCCTTGGATCATGGTCATGATGGACGACAACCAACTTGATAAGAAGCTTGGACGTCAAACAATAACACTCAGTCTATATTGTTCTGACCTAGATACGCATCGAGGTCAATAGAATACTCTCCCTCTGATAGTAACACCGAGCCATACGGTGATATGACTCGAGATCATGTCAACAAACAAGTCATGATCTTACTACACACTCTTGCAGCAACCGAGAATTTTTTTGGTCTCCTCCTCTTCCCGCTCCTGGCTTCTGCAGCACATGTCGCCTCCTGCCAGGGGCAAGCCTCAACCGGTGGGTGCCGGGCCAAGATGTACCTGGTGTGCTTGACAGCGGTCCTATTCGGGCTTGTCTTGTTGTGATGGGATGGTGTGGATTAGTTGCTGGTTGGTGGGACCTTGAACGGGTATAATTGAGTGCCTGCGGTAGCGGTAGCGGTAGCTGCTGGAAACACGAACACGACAGCACATAGTCACTAGTGGTAGGTGATGAACCTGGATTTCTGGTAAGGCTTGATATCCGGTAATTAATCCCCCTGTAATTAGTACAAGGCGATCCTTCAATACCCAGTATTCCCAACGGGCAGTGGCATAATATCCGTGTGCTCATCTATTGGCTTTCAAAGCAATCGACAGGTTGTTGGGAGTGTGGTCTGTGGTACAGTTACAGTTACAGTTGCAGCAGGCAGGCCTCTTCGCTTGTTGGCGTTTAGTTAAACAATGTTTCGAGGAACCCTACTCAGTTCAGTAGCTGATCTGCACTACCTACCCTTTAGAGTAACTTTCCGAAAATGAATTCTTTGTTAAGACTCTCTCAGAGAAGAGCTTACACCCTTTCTTAGTAAGACTTCGGGGCATGGTCTATAACAGTAGCAAACCGGTTTTTGTCAGAGCCAATGGAATTACTTGTCCAGTCTGTGATGAGGTGCTCACTCTTGCGGTGCTACGAACCTCCAACTCAAACTCCACCAGACACAAACGGGAGGCCGTGGCCTAGAACCCGTCTTTTCCCAGGGACTACCCGCTAATTAGCAGCGGACAACAGCGTATCATCGCTTCTAATCCCGCATCACAGCGCTTACCCTTTTTTGGACAGTTCCATTTCATCCCATCAACAGCTTCGATATTCTTCAACTTCGCCCACGTACTCGATTCACACAATACAACACTATCAAGACTCTCCATGTCTATCATATCTTGCATATCATCGTATTCTTATGAGACTATAGTGTCAGCACTAAAACCATCCACATCATTGGACCATACATGCATGGCTACATAGGCCTGACTTCCAGCGACTTGACTTGGCTGGAATCACTCAATGGGCGTGTCCCACTCTCTCATCGCTCAAGTTCTTTGGGTCCATCTGCCGTTCGCGTTCTGCATTGCGTGTATGGATGGCTTATTAGTGTTTGCTTCTTCCAAGTACACCCCAACCATGGCTACCTTAGGTAGTTTTACTTCTCCACGCACGATATGCTAGCAGAGGCAGCCATGATGTGATTTCGACTGCTTGCCTCAAAACTGCTCATCTGCTACACATTTGTTTCCAGTACTATGTGATGACAACTCTTCGATATCCTTTAGGCTCTGCGCCCCCGCCAGTATTATGGCCAAACACCTTACTGACATCTCCAGCGTTCTCGGAGAGTACCTACGCTTCTGGACATGAGAAATTTATCGACATGCGTCCCACGTAGTGCCCCGTCTTTAGCGTCATGTTCCGGTTTGTCCCTCATGTGCAACTTTCTTCATCATACAATCCCTGGCTTGTGACGACGTCAACTCGTACTTCATTATCAATCGCTCAGCATAAGATCCGCCGCATTCCGTTCTTCGGCGTGGGTCAAAACCGTGGTCCTAAGTCTGATACAGCTAGCCTCCAAGACTTTGGCACACTTTTGTGTCCAAGTCCGCCGCTATTCGGCCTAAGATAATCAACGTGCAGATTCCTGCATCTCAGGCACTACCATCACGCCTGATTGATTATCGCTCAAGATTTTCAGATGGGGTCGGTTGTCGTAGAACCTGGATGGTATCCATCTAAAGTCTACGTACCTCTGGGACACGGGCCGTGGGGATGGCAAAACTATCGCCTTCTTACGCCTCATGGAAGGATTATCAACATATGCATTATAACGTTTCAAACGAATCCATGAGAAGCTGAAGAATGATAAGATAAGACTCAGCGTGCAACCGTCTTCGGATTGCGCTCTCTTATTCGGGTCGATCATACTCAAAGCTACCTAGCCTCCTAGCCTTGTAAGCCGCATCGCATCCCTTTTGTGCATCATCGCAGGGACCTGCATGGGTAAAGGTCCATCGTAACGACACGTTATTAGTGGCATTTTGACAGACTCGGATCCTTTTGCGAATTCGACCGTTCAACGTGGTCCGTATTGTTCGGTTACTCTTGGTTCCAGAACTCAGATAGCCTTCATCTTCCTCCTCTCCTCGATTACTGCGCACACTACTCCTTATCTCTTGGTCCAAGCAACCCCGTAAGGATCTAACCGACCCCAGATCCTGCCCCTGGCATGACGTATTGGTACAACGGCTTCGATCTCGAATCTCATGCATCTTTTGCCGGGGGGTGAGAATGCCTGTCGCTCTCGTGTTCGCTCAACTAATGTTTCCCTCATATGGATGTAATAACGGAGACAGGTTGGAGTACACGGAACTCTCCGCAAAAGTCATTGACTTAGATGTGATGAAAGTCGCATAGCCCACAAGATGGACTATCATTGTGCTAACTTTTATGGTACAAGTGTCACTGTGAAAAGGGAAACTTGACAAACTAAAGTTTGACTATTAAGTGTATATTAAAAAGTGACGCTGACGCTATTGAAGATGATCAATCTTTTAAGTTGACAGATACAGAAAACTCCCATCCAACGCCGCTGTATGCTTTCTCTATCAGACTCTTCCATTCATGCAAATGATTACGAGGCAGTGTTGGGGGTGTCGTATCCAGAATCAGAAGTTCCCTTGGACTTGGTTACTTCCTCGTCTGGAACCTCCAGTTTCTTCTTTTCCTCGGCTTCCTTAGGCGTGTCTTCAGATTTCTCCGCATCCTTCTCGTCCTTCTTTTCATCCTTCTTCTCGTTGCTGCGGTTTTCAGTCTCGGATTCGGTATCAGAATCAGAAGAGTCGGAGCCAGAGCTCTCGCCGTTACTCTTTCGCTTGGCCTTAGCCTTGGCCTTCTTCGCCTTTGCTCGTTCCTCCTTGCGTTTCTTCTTGGCTTCCGCCTTGCGGGCCTCCTGCTCCTCCTTGCGTCGCTTCTCCGCATCCTCGATTTCCTTCTGCTTCTTCTCCTTGCGGGTTTCTACCACCCACTCATCAACAGCGTCAATGGCGGCCTCAGGGTTGCGCTTGTGCTTGAGAAGCAATCCTTGGATTTCAGCAGGGCTGAATTCGAGCTCGGGCATCTTGGTAGCAAACTTATCGGCGAGAGCATTAACTCGCTCCATGGTCTCCTGGCGGGTCTTTTCAGCCAATGCAGCCTGCTTCTGAACCTCATCGGGTAGCAGGATTTCCACATCCTTTCCAGACGTACCCTCTCCCTCATAAGGGGCGTAGATGGCACGGAAGATAGAGGCACTCATATCAGCGTCGGCACGACCGAATTCAACAATCATATCGACACGGCCAGGACGGATGAGAGCCTTGTCCAACTTCTCAAGATGATTTGTAGTCATGATAAGGACGCGTCCTTCTTGAGATGCAACACCATCGAGTATATTGAGGAGTCCCGATAGTGAAAGTCGACCTGGGAGCGCAGGTGCTGTAGTAGGGGGGAGACCAGGCTTGGCGGGTGCGGTGGTGACGGGCACAACTGCATCCTCTGTGTTTTCACCCTTTGTATCCTCACGAGTGTGAGTGAGACCAGCAGTGTCAATATCCTCCAGAAGTACTACACAACGGCGAGGGAGCTCGGCAAAGAGGGTTGCGAGGTTCTCTTCACTAGCCATGGTAGAGCTCAAACTGACCATGTAGATTCGCATGCGAAAGAAACCAGCCAAGGCCAGACTAAGCGAACTCTTTCCGGTTCCAGGGGGGCCGTAAAGAAGATAGCCACGGCGGTAAGGGATACCGCGGTTGGAGTACCAGCGGCGGGTGTTGGGGTCAAGATAGTCGGTGACGTCTGCAATCACGTCTTGCTTGACCTTTTCGTTGAGGATAACCGTAGAAATGGGGCGACTAGCTCGACTCATGCATCGTTGCCATGTAGGATCGCCGCCATTTTGACCAAGTGAACCACGGTAAATGATGGTCTTTTTCTCGTCCTTTTTCAGATACTGTTCACGAGCATCGACAAGGAGCTCCTTAATGATACGGGGGTTGCGGCCGAAGCAGGAGATGGACAGCTCCTCTCGCTCGCTCGAGGTGAGGAACCCGGAGCGCTCACGGTTCTCATGGCGCTCGAAGAGAAGGACATGGCCCTTGTACCAGAAGAAGTGAGAACCGACCGAAGGGGTATACTGGAGAGGCTTCTTAGTTGAGCCAGAATCTTCCTCTTCGTTGTCGTCGTCGTCCCATCGAAACAAGAACCAACTCCTAGAGTTGATGTTGGTGTTGACCATGAAACGTCGAGAACCTTGGGCAAATCGTTGGTTTGCCACCCAGGCCATCACTATGTTGTAGATTTCATCATCGGTGCGAATACGTACAGCAGACATGAGATGCTGACCGATAATGCTCCATGAATACTCAGTGATATAGTTCCAGGCAAACATGATACCGGAGATAACCAGGAGGAGGGGGATGTAGAGGTTAAGGTCGATACCGAGATAAGCATGGACGATACTTGAAAAGGTGGAAAAGCCAGGGAATAGAAAGTCCAAGATGGCGAACTGTGAAGGAGGTGCAGTTGGGAGACCAGCGGCCTCGCCAGTTGTGTTGAGGGTCTCCATACTTTGGGCGTGGGAGATGGACTGCAGGAACGCCAATGGTCCTATCATGCTAACGTGCGTCGAAGAGTGTTTTATGTAAAGAGTGTATGACAAGCACGCAGAGAGCAAGAAATCTCCGGACCTGAAGTAAGGATGTTAGGAATGCCTAAAGCAAAGGGCTTCCTCAGCTGATGCTAAACTCACACAAGTCTTGTTGTTGCTGGGGGAGGTCTCTCCTTGCAGAGAAGGATAGTTGAGGCCTATGATGAATATGGCTAGAGATGATGGAGGTGAGTTGAGTGAGAGGAAAAGTTGAAGTGAGAGAGGCGACGAAAGGTTTTATAAGCGTCAAGTCTGTATGCACGAAACGTGATACTGGTGCGTACTAGAGAAAGAGGCATCCCCACCCTCATCATCTGCGTAAGGGCGCCATCAGCCTTACAGCTCACGAGTTGAGCCACTTGAGTCACAGCCCGCGTAAACCAACTAGGATCGATTCTCCACGCCGTGACACAAGTGGAAAAGTGGTTTTGCGTGTGGGGTAGAGATTGGCGTTTCCTATTAGACAGGATAATGATTGTCGCGTGAAAAGGCCAGGCATCACAGCGTCATCGTTAGGCAGCAGATCCGTTTTTTACTGCATGAATCTTTTGGGTCAATGATACAGTTTGTGAAGACTCTTTGACACAGAGGAAACACTATCGATCACTCTTTGAATCGTCTATCCTTCCTCCGTGGGCAATGTCGTGATTTTCTTTCTTCCAAATTAGTCTAAATATGTTGTGCTATCATTGCCAACTCTAGATAGAGCCTGATGCACCTGTCCAACGATTAACCCCAACGACCAATGCCTGCTCTTTGTTGACTTGAAAGATCTTTGGTAAGGCAATTGGAGGCTGACCCGCTGACCCTCCTGTGCTCGGCTGCCTCTTTTCTGTGAGCAAAGCGAGTCGAGACATTGGATTGGTTCGAGCTGCATATACAGTACGACACTTACAGGATGACTGCATTTTCCAACGCAATATACATACAGTCAAAGCAGGGATAACTACTGAATCAGGATGTTTCTCTCGTGCCTCAAGACCACTGTCGTCATGTTCAGTCTAGACCTTTTCTCCCCCTTTGTCTATCTATCTATTTGTCTTGTTGACTTACACCGCACTCTTAGCCCAAGCCTCCTGGCGGAGCATCACCCGGGAAGAGTCACGGCGGCGTGGCGATCCAATCGGGCGCTAGACCCTATCTGTTCCACCTGGAGGCTGTGTTTCAACCATTTCCCGGCAAGCGAACACCGGCTGGTGAACATCATTGGCTGATGCGTAAGGTCAAAGGGTCTTGTCGACAGGGGGGCTTAGGGACATTTGATGCATTGCAGACTTTGGTGCATCGCTCAAAGCCGAAGGCGGGTGGGGGACCAAGAAAAATGAAGTAGGCAAACACCAAGGCTTTTTTCTGTTTTACTATCGCAGATATTACGTATCGTAGCTTGTGTATGAGAGGGAGCACACGACACTTCTTGAGTCGTTAGAGGCATGTGAATGGCCGAGACTGTATCCCTACGTCATTTTGCCCTTTAGTTACCCGGTAGCGATCATCGAAAGGTCTAGACCCTCCTGTTTCAAGATGGATATTAACAATTCTGGTTTCGTTCCTTGCTATATAACTCTGTGGCTAAATTGCTAGAACTGTGTCACATTCGATAGAGGCAGTCATTCGTGACGTATTTCAAGCAATTCGAAGAAATAGTTGTAATGCCATTCATACTAGTATAACATTGAAGCACAAGACAAACAGCAGCCACTCATATTATCAAACTATGTTCATGTATAATCGCACCACCAAACTGCAGTTTGAAGTGCAAGAGGTCAATACGCTAGTGGCTATGCCAAGAAGAAGCAATGAACAGCAAAAGCGGCATTCGTTGAGTTGATGCGTGTAAGCAATCATGAAATCATTCATAACCCTTCAGTTGTCTCATAACTGATTTCCATAACGCCATGTTCGCCATCCCAAGTTTGTTAGCTATACATTTCCAAATACAATCATCAACGTGAACAGAAAGCACAGCACTACTCAATAGGTTCTGCTCGTCAACGCTGTCTCAAGACTAATATTAATCTTCATCAGAACTCCAACCGTCTGATTCTGAAGAGGGACCTCCTCTACCTCCTGGGTGGTTCTGACCAGTCAAGTCGATAAAAGGAGCTCCGCCAGGCATTCCACCGGGCATTTGGGGATGCATGGGAGGTGGAGGAGGCATGTGAGGAGGAGGAGGGCCAGCGTACCCGCCCATCATCGGGGCAGGAGGAGGACCGCCACCGAAATTGGGATCATAGCCTTCATCGTAGATACCATCGCCGTAGCCGGCATCATAACCTGGGCCTCCGTCGTAGCCTCCGTCCATGGGTGGGGCCATCGGAGGCGGAGGTGGATGTTGTGGTGGGGGGCCGCCGTTCATATTCATCGGCTGAACCACCGGCCGAGGAACGGCTCCGTCGAAGTGCTTACGGGAGCCACCTCCGCTCTTGTGGCTCCGTCCACTTCGCTTACTATGTCCACTGCTGGTGCTACCCCTACTGCTACCGCTGTAGTAGTAGCTGTTGGGATGAACAACCCAGTAGAGTTGTGTGTCGGACTGATCCCAGTTAGAGAACGTCGAGCCACCGGAACTGACTGAACGGTCATCACGGTAGTCTCTTGTTCTCTTCTTGACAGCTGTAGCTCCAGGTGGTGCTCCAGCTACCCATGAGAGAAAGCGGAGAGCCTTGGGCTGTTTCTTGGGTATCCGGGTATAAGTAGTCGTCCATGCCGATGAGCGGCTGTCATCTGAGTAGACGGAAGAACGTGACATGGTGGATTATTAGATATGGTAATTACTTGGAGAATGAGGCGGGGCGGGTGGCGATGAGTTTGTGAAGTCAGAATGTGTAGATGGTGTGCAGTTCACGAACCAAAGCAGTGAACTGAGGCTGGTGTTGTGCTGAAGGCAAGGTGATGCTTGCCAAGCGTGGTAGAATGGGCAATAGAATGAAGGGGGTTCCTTGTTCAAGAGAGAAGAGATCGACATGAAGAGCTAAAGAAGAAAGGACGAGGCAAACGAGAGACGGACATGGGAGCTTCATATAGACGGGAACTAAACACACGGACTAGGCGAGGTCTACACAACGTCTACGTACTTGGAATTGACCATTGCACAAAAGCAATCGTCAGGATCGGCTGCCTCGTCAAGGCATCTCATATTCTGCGGGCGACGAGAAAAGAGGCTATTGTCTCCTATGGTTGTTGCACATTGCACAACAGGACAGGCCGTAGTAGCGGCAGAAGCAAAGAACGACAGGGGGAGTTTGGAGTCAGCAAGTCAGTGGGTGTCGAGACCGTCCGTCGTGCAGCGTCTTCTGTGCGAGCAGGCTTACACAATACGACTCTCCAGGTGATGTGCAGGACGGTACGGTACCGGTACGCTGCAAGTGACGGGCCGCCAGTTAATTTTGGCTGACGGCGGGAGGGAACAGACGTTCCTTGAGGCTCTCGGGCGAGCAGCCAAGGAGTCATGGACGCTGTGCAAGCTGGACGATCGTGCGCCACGTTCGCCCTGCTTTGGAGAGGGGTAAGGTGATAGATGATCTAGGACAGAGATGAGGGTGTAAGAGATGCAAATCTCGTGGGCGAGTAGTTTAATGTGAAGCGAACACACTGCACGTTGTAGTGGTTCGCCAGTCAGAAGTGGTCAAGCTGGACTAATCATCATCAAGTAGATAATAAGAAATTGAGTTGAACTATGCGATTGATAGCTCGGGTTGATCAACTCAATTGGCCACGGAACACGAACAGACAGACACCGCTCATGGAACTGAATTGGCCGAGAGTCCAAGTTCCTTGAAACTTGGCTGACACAAGACCCGTTCGACAGCATAATCCACGAACGAATATCATAAAAAATCAGGACACTTTCACTAAACACAACAGGCTGCGGAGCCATGCGAACGCTCGAGGACAGTGGATAACTGACGCCTAGACGTCATGCAGCTGCATGCATTTCGCTGTGGCTGCCTTTTCCTCTTTTCTCACTGCCTCTTATCTGGAGCGAAACAAGTTAAACGAGGCTGCAGTGCGGTGGTCTGCTCTCTGCGGTGCGTTTTCAAGCGGTGATGTTGAGCCGCAACGATTGGCTGCTGGAGCATGCAAGCTGCCGCCGTAACAGGGTTGACTGGTTGGTTATGCGTGAGAGAGGGGGGTTGTGCTGTGACATGATGGGATTGGAAGAGGTTTTATGCAGTTCCGAGGTGAGCAGGAATGTGACGGGGTTGAAAAATAACCGCCTTTGGAAAGGGTAGAGTTGCTCTTTGGAGTCAAGAGGCATGTGGAAGTGCAGAAACGAAACGAAACATGAATTATAAGGCTGACGACCCAGGGATAAAGGGTCGAGAGTTGCATGCTGTGAGTGCCTTTCTGAGCTTCATTGATAAACTATTCTAGGACTTTATAGGTTGCCGGATGTGAATTTTTGATTGTAGGGTAACATGTAGTCGTTGGCCTGATAACAGAGACTGTGTATTTGATACTCTGGTAGCATACCTGTACAGTATACAAGGTCTGACAATCTAACATATACTTTCCCTGGTACAATCACCATTTCACACAGATCACCACTTTGAAGGATTCATCTTGTCAACCGTGTGATCTGTGGACTATGCGAGTGCTCAACTTGTTGTCTAATGACATTCATGTTGAGCATGTGGTTTAGACACCCAGCAACCCGAGAGTTGGGTTAAGTATCATGGTTGGTTCATTTGTTAACCGGCAGTTGGAAACTACTGTACCCCAGAAATGACAAGAGAGTGGGCTAGAAAAAACAAGGCGAGCATTTTCAACGCTTCATTTTCAACCGGTGTGGCAGATATAAGAGAGAGATCTCACCTACCTGTGCAAAGATCAATGAGAACCATCTGTCTGACACCATCTTCTCAGTGACAACGCATACATCGAAATCGTCCAACTTTGTCTGCATCTTGAGATACTCGAGACGAAGACTCTGGTTGGATAGTGTTAGTACCCTGAGAGCAAGTGCG